TAAAGTTGCCCCTTAAGGTTTTGTTTTTGACTTTATATGGAAGTGTATGACTTAAACTTCTAAGTTTCTAAGTAATTATTTTTGACAAAAACTACCTGTGGTTTGAAATAAAATTTCAGTCAACCTCGCATGAAATGTGTCAACTTACTCTTTTCTTAAGTATTTTAGTTTTAAGTAATTTGAGAAGTAGAATTCTTGTGATAACAACTTTATACTTATAAACATTTACTCTAAGTTGTGCATGAAAGTGTATTTATATCAATATTTCTACATCTTGTTTAGATTATGAAAAACTAACAAAAGTAGTAAAAGATATAGTTAGATTTAATAAATTTTGTCAAACTATTTACAGTTACCTAAATTTTAAATCATACTAATTGATAGTATTTAAGACTGAAATTGTGAACGGTCAAGTTGGAAAGATTGTCAAAGGATTTCTTACAAAAAGGATGTGGAATTATGATTCAAATAGGTTGTTATGGTTCATAGGATTCTAATTGTAAATCATAGTTGCATTAGGATCATAGTTGTTGAAGTCTCATGATTTACTGGTTGAATCCTACAATATGAATTGAATCTTAGCCAACATTTATTGAATCTTAGATATCTGTCCTTCTTGACTGGATTATTTGGATTATCTTTGAGATTTATAATTCACGACTTGAAACTTAAATCCTTTTGAATATTATGGTTGTTTTTTTTAATTAAATTTAATCATAAGTGTTTCGATTGAAATTATGAGTTCCCCTCCCGCCACTCCTATCCCTTTTTTTTTTTGCGTGTGTTACTTCATCTTCTCTTCTGTAATTATTACACAGTAATGAATATATATATATTATATTCTGTACTTGTGTTATTTAGTCTTTCTTTCGGTAATGAATAATCAACACTTTGGACGCATGAGCTCCACAAAGCCTTTATAGGCTCTATAAATGTTATTGAACAGAAAGTAAGGTTTTCCTTTTCTCTTTTCCTTTTTGTTCAACCGTGGAAGAGTAGCTTGTTGAACAATGCTAGGCAAGGTTTCTTAGATAATAACAAGAAGGGTTGAGTACAGAAAACCCTCCTGAACTTTACTCTAAAATGCACTAAATCCCCTGAACTCTTATTTTGGCAATAAACCCCTTATCCTATTCCGATTATGGCAAATAGGTCCCTGACATCGATTATCTTAGCACGTGACTTGCAGGTGATATATATTTGCAGATATGATACTTCAATTGCATTTTTACCAACTCAAAAACGTCTTCTGAGGTTGGTGTGTCAAGTTCAAAATTAACTATAGTTGGATTGAGCTCGAGGCTTACCTTAGTTGTACAGTGGGGGGCCAAGTTTATGATGCTTGGAGGGCGGCTCCTCTTTGCCTTTGATGGGGCTTGTGGAGAGAGAGAGAGAGAAACAGGATTTTTGTCTATGCCGAAGAGACACCTATTGGGTATATTGTTAGTTCTTTATATAGGGAGTATAAGCAATTCGCAAATAGTTAAGGTTATATATATATATATATATTTTTGCAGCAATGACTTGTAAAACTTAGTTTGTGGTTCCATCTCATCCTCAAATTATCCCAGAGATAGTATAGTTTTGCTCTACATGAGCAAGGAAATGATGAAAATCAAAAGGAGCTAGTGGTGGTTCTTTGAGAGGGTTTGGTGCATGGAGAGAACTATGCACCATGATGTGATTCTTTATTTTTATTTTTTAATTTTTTTATTTTTTGACAAGTAAACCATAATGTGCTTCTTCTGACATGTTCTGCTTTTGGGTAAAATTTTCCATTCTTATTTTTTTGTTGAAATGAGCAAGATAACACTATTTGGTTCACATGGTCACTGAATAAATTTTCCTATTATTGCAAATGATGGGTTTATATTCTTTGATAAGCTACAGAATATTACTTACTTTAAAAGCAATAGTTGTTATTTTATTCAGTTAACAGGAATCACGGATAGAGAAAATGTCTAAAACACAACACTTCCCAATATAATGACTTGTTCAAAATAAGGCCAGAATGTTATTGTACTCCATCTTTGCAAAAGCTGAGGGTATGCTTTCAAGGGTTTAACGAACCATCAGGTTATTAGTATTTATATATGCCTAGTTATGGACTTTGTTAGTATTCTATTTCAGGCTAAGCCTGATGAAAATCTTTCTGGAGCAAAACGGAAAACTGTGACACCATTAGCCGCTGCTTCTAATGAGTGCCCTTCAGTCAGTTTAAAGAAAAAACATAAAGAGGAATGGAGTTGTGCAGTGTGTCATGTTAGTGCTACTTGTGAGCGAGGTTTAAATGAACACTTCCAGGGAAAGAAACACAAGGCCAGGGCGGCAGGATTGGGAGCAGGAAGGACAGGCAAGAACTTTTCCATCGGCCTATTCCCACATAAAACTGGCAAGGCCGGTAATGTCATGGAAACCAGTCCATGCTCAGAGCAGCAGAGGGAAAAACTGGAACGGAAATCACTGCAGCAGGTTGAAACTAGTCCATTGCTGAAAATTTTGAATAATGAGGCAGCAGCAGAGAGGCAAAAGACTTACCATAAGAAGAAGAGGTTTAAGTTTTGGTGTGAAATGTGTCAGATCGGGGCCTTCTCTGCAGAAGTGATGGAAACTCATAGAAAGGGGAAGAAGCATTTGGGACGGCTTCAGGATCTCAATCGAAATGGTGGATCTATCCCAGCGGATCTAGTGGCAGAAACTTCTCAGAAGGCAAAATATGTAGATGTGGTCACCAAAGATGAAGGGCAGGAAGCAATGGAAAATGTTGATGGAACTGCAGATGGTGCCGAATTGGAAAATCATTATGGAGTTGTGGAAGTGGCTGAAACTACTCAGGAGGCAAAATATGTATATGTGGTCGCCAAAGATGAGGGGAAGGAAGCAATGGAAAATGTTGATGGAACTGCGGATGGTACGGAATTGGAGAATCATCCGGGAGTGGTGGAAGTGGCTTCTGGTTGCTTCATTGATTATTCTGTTCTGCCTTTCTCCTGGGGTAAATATTGATTAGTGTAGATGCTAGAGGATGGAGATCGGAAAGACATTCTGTGATCTGCTCAAGGTATTGCTTTCCATCCCAAATTCAGTCCATGAGTCAAGATTACTTTTTGTAGAAAGTATTTATAGATTTTAGAAGAATCCTAAACTGCCAATGACCAGTAACTAAGAAATTAAACACGGGTTTGGATGGTTTAACTACATTGCTCATTATAGGTTTAAATTCCTTGGTCTAGGGGATTGGGGTTTAACTCATTTCGGATACGAGAAAGTCTATTCACGCATTGTTTGGATGCATTCTAGCACAACCTTAAGCATTGTTCGGATACTTGTTTGGATGCATTACTCATTAGATATGCCAAATTCTTATGCCTACACTTTTGATGATTGGACAAACCGTTTTTGAACCTAGTTTGTTCTTGTGATTATATGGATACATCAAACTTATATATACACATATATATTTGAGCTTAGTTAACTTTGCTTGGCTAAAAAGCATTATGAAGTTAGATAAATTCAGCTCAATTAGATGAAAAAGATTACTTGAGGTTGCTGTAGGGTCCTTGACCTGGGCGGTTATGATGTCCATCTGTTCAGAGGTTAAAAAAAAAGATAAAAAACACTACTTGCTCTTGCTTCCCCTAGTTGAACAAAATGAGCCGAATTCTTCATATATATATATATTCAAAACTTATACTGGTCTCTTTTGAAATGGTCAGCGACAAATTTTGCTTATGTCAGCAAATAAATTTATTAAAAGACCATCTTTAACCTATGAAGACATTATTATCCTCATTTAGTAATGGTCAAACATTTTTAAAATATTGATTTTTTTTTTTTTGAATTTATTACACTTTCACATTCATAATATTCTCTAAAAAATATAATTATCTATATATTAAATTTGTATACAAGTCAATTAAGTTTAGATTAAATTTCATTAAATATAAATTATCATTGGCATAGTTTGCAAAAATGTAAAAATAAAAATAAAAAAATAGATATTTGATACAGTGTTGTTTAATTATATAAACATATTTATTCATCCTAATTAATTCATTTGTTAAATCAGGGCTTAAGGGAACTCTTTGGGACAAAGTTAATTGGTCATATAATTGTGGTTACATAGATGAACCAAAATTTGATAAAATAAATTCACAAAATTAAATACAATATACGTAATAAAATTTTAAATTTCATTTTATTTTCTTAAATTTTAATTTTTGTAATTTAAATAATAGTTATTAAATTATAATCTATACATTTTGATTATTTTATTTAAAACCACCAGTTTAACAAGAATTTCCAAGTCGACTCCAATTTGGTCTTGGTCGCTCTGCTTGACCCGTATTACAACAGCACATCAACTCGTCGTGGGTACGAAAACGAAGTTGAACAATAGATGCATAACTACTATAAGAGGATTCAGTATTATTAATTAAAAAAATAATTAATAATAACCTTAAGAATAATTGGAAGTTCCAACAAGGAGAAGGAAAATGACAGGGTAAGTCAACAATTTGGAATCCTACACGACCTCCTAAGAAGCATAGTCAATGACTAAAAAATACACTTGTTTAACATGGTATAAATCCCCAATCAGTGTAATTTTTTAAAATATGAGAGGAAAGGTCAAGGCAGAAAATTCCAACCACAATCCATAGACTTCAAGGCAGTCCAATAGAGTACATAAATAACAAAACCCAGAATTTTGGTTCATGCCATAACAAGAGTTAAAAAAACAAATAAACATTTGGATTATTATTGCTAGGGCACCAATTCCAATTCCAATTCCAATTCCAACTCCAACAAGAGCAAAGGTTACAAATTTCCTTGTTTCCTTCATCTAATAAGCATCCAGATATCATATATTATGATAACTAACCATCCCAATGGATTTACAAACTCGATTTCTTCGCCAAGTACGATCCCAGACCTCAAACCGGTTGAAGTACTATAGACTCCAAACCCAAACGTGCTTTCAAGGATCAGTCATAAACTCATTTCTCAAACAACATTTGCATTCACTTCGTGTGTACTTTAATATATAAAAGCTATTTTTCCTTTACAGAAGAAAGAAAAAAGAAGACATGGAATGTAAGTAAAAGTAACCTTGCATAGCAGGGAAATTTTCAAAAGCCTAAACCTAGCATCAAAAGCTCACTGAATGCGAGATCTTGATGTGCTGCACTTCAATAATATTCAAACCCTCAACGCAACCTGGTCTTGCCATGAGATCTTCCTCTTCCCAGCTCTGTTTGATCCGTTCCCCACATTCCTACATATAGATAATTTCAAATCATTGTGCTGCTCGTCATTTCCAACTTTGATTACACAGCTCTTCGGCTCCTCAATCCTTGGTGGTTTATAAGTCTCGTGAAATTCCTCTTCTTCCTCTCTCTGTGAAATCAAGTTAAACATAAACCCATTAGCACAAAGCAACTACTACCATTCATAGTTTGTAGTTCAGAGCATTATAATTGTTTACCGATATCTGGTTTAAGTCAAATATTGGAGCTCGGTTTTGCACAGCAGCCTCCTTGCCACTGCAAGTCTTTTCCTTCTGGTTTAAATCGAAAATCAGAGCTGGCTTTATCAGAGGGTCCTCCTTTCCAATATACATCCTTCCCTTCTGGTTCAGATCAATAAGTGGATTTGGCTTCTGAAGAGGAGGTTCCTTTCCGCTATATATCCTTTTTTTCTGGTTTATGCCAGAAAGTGAAGATGGGTTCAACAGGGCAGATTCATTTCCATTAAAAAACCTTTCCTTTTGGTTCAAGTTAAAAACCGGGAGTAAACTTCGCAAAGTGGCCTCCTTTTTACTGTAAATCCTGTCTTTCTTAGTGTTTGTGCGCTGGGTTTCAAAATGCTGTGGTTGTACTACTACTCGATCCTGTCGGGTTTTTGGAGACTTGTGTGTCAATAGGTATTTGTGCCGTCGCCGCAGAAAACTGTTATCCAAAACAAAACCAGAACAGGTCATGACAAGACACATAAAGTTCCACCAGCATTTGAAAAAGTAAATACACAAAAGCAGTTGTCAACTTATTATTTCCTATTGAATTTTGTTTGTAACATCTAAATGAATTGGCGAGGAAGGAAAAAATAAATAAATAAGGAAGAAGTTGATTTTTAAAATAACTGATCAGAGATTTAAGAGTTACTAAATTTGGGAAAAAGAAAACATACTACACTGACAAATTTCAAGTTATAATTTACATTGAAATTTGCTCGAAAAGCACAAAGGCAAATGCACTCACCATATTAAATAGAATTACAAGACATATTCAAAATTATCTATTAGAATTTGCTTGTAAAAGACACATGATATCAACAAAAATATGAAGGTAAAATATTAAAAAGCATGAGTAATTTCTAATAAAATTTTATTCAAATAGCATATACATAAACATACATGAAGGTAAAAGATCATACCGAACTTCTGCCAACAGGGTTAGCTTTCTGTGTTTCATGGTCTCCAATTTGTTTCTCATGCCCTCTGCTTCCTGCAGAGTGCTTAGTATCAAAATCCATCCACAGCTAGCTTAACAAATTGAAATCATTTTGAGTAACAAGTAACAAAGACAGAAAAAAATCCTGGTATTTATTTAACAAGGCATGAAGAAATCATCAAAAGACCAATAACATCAATATTAAAAGAAAGGTCTGAAAAAGAAATGAATGAGAAATCTAGCGAAGAATGGTCTACAGGACCTCTCTAAGAAACCAAGAAGAAAACCTCATCACTAATGTACTAAACCATGAAAGAGTGGAAAACAGAAGATACCTAAAACAAGAAAGACAAAACGAGAAGAGTTTGAAGAAAAATTACAAACAAGAGAGGACCCAAATTGCAAAGGGAATTCTATTGAAAACAACACCCTCCCCCAAAAAAACAAAGAAAAGAAAGGAAAAGATTGTACCCTGAAAAATCATAACCAGAGCATAAACAAATAGTACAGACATAAACTACATCGAAGCAAATATTATAGATCAAAGGAGTAAAACAAACAAGGAAAATAGAACAAATAAAAGTTACAAACACGACAATTTTGATGATAAGGGGTCTACAAGGATTTTTTTTTATGAATAAATTGAGATTGAGAGAAGCACAATACTGGGCTCATTAGAAATTATTGAACAAGTTGTGGTTATAATTTACAAGAGACTGCATATTTAATCCATTAAAATTTGAAGAAGTAGATCAAAGCCCTGTAAATACTAAAAATAACCAGAGTAAGCTGAAATGGGATATTAATCAACAAATCACGTAAAGAATTAGCATACAACCACATATTAAATCCATTAAATCCATTAAGAAAGGAAGAAAATAAATCAAACACATCAAAACCTAAAAAACTTAAAGAAACCGAAGGGACATTTTTCATAAGAAATTCATTGGAAGTACAATCAAATCCCTCTGTGCACAACCCAGAAAACATTTTTTTTATAGAAACCCTAGATCTTAACAATAAGAGGAAGAATACCCACAAAGAAAATTACCTTATGCAACTCTTGGAAGTCCATCATGAGAGTCTGATGCTTGAATCTGGTCTTAGCATCCTCATATACACCCCTGGTTGATGGATCCAAAGCAACCCCTTTCATCTTCTTAGACATCAGATCCCAAATACAAAGAACCCACTAGCGAAGAAATTATGAACTTTGAAAAAAAACTCAGAACTATATGCATAAAATAGACAGAAAGAAACAAATATGGCGAGAGAGAAAGAGTGGTGGGCAAGAAATAATAAAGGAAGAAGGATAGAGAGAGAGAAAGAGGGGCGAGAGAGGAGTTGAGAAGGTTCTGGCTTTCCTGTTTTCTCTGTGAAAACTCTGACCAAGACAAAGCCCAAAAAGCCCATATAAAACGGGGAAAACATTGTTGTTTTGAACAGTGAAGTGATGAAGATGGGATTTTTTTTGGGTGTTGCAGAAGGGTATTTGTGGGAACATAAAGTTTCGTTGTTGTGTGAGGTGGGTTTGGTTGGAGGACATTTGAAGACACCTCTTCTTTCTTTCCTTCTCTCTCTCTCCTCTCTCTATCTTTCCATTCTTTTTTGTTTTTCTTGTACATAAATTTTGGTCTAGCTGGGCCATTAGAGAGAGAGAGTTGGGTGGTGTGGACTCTTTCCTTGTTTTTGATGGGGAGGTGCGTGGAGTTTCTATGTTTCTTCCCTTCTTTCTTTGTGTGTCTACCTCTGGAAGGATAGATATTGGTAGAGAGAGAAAGACAGTTTTAGAGCGAGAAAGTGATGAGAGAGACGAGAGAAGATGCTGAAAAGGTAATGGGGGAGATAAATGGGGATGCTGTTTTCTGATGTGCTGCAGTTGTTCGTAGTACTTTATTTTTAAGCATTATTATTATGGTTATCTAAAATTACAAATATGCCCTTATTTTATAATGTACCTAAATTCCATCTCTTTTTCATTGGATGCCATTAATTTGGTAAGGTGCCATTAATTTCGTAACAGAAACCATATTCCTAAATACAATCAACTTTAAGAATTCAAAAATTTTAAATAGAGCTGTAATTGAATAAATAAAATTGATATTTAGCCTAATAGATTAGCCAAAATGACTGGTCAATTAGTATTGCATAGGGGACATGCATATGAATTGGTCAGTGAAGAGCAAGTACAATGGTGATTGGTTTGGCCATTTTGGGCTAATTTTAAAGAGTGGGTTACTTCAATATATTCTTTAAAAAATGGGTCCCATTAACACAAACTTGATCCAAGTCTCCAAAATTCAAGATTGGTTTAGAGAATTGCGGGCCTGACATGCGGGCCCGCATCAGGTTTCTTTTTCTTTTTTAATTCTGGCCTAAATAGTATTTTAGCGCATAACACTGTTTGGGAGGGGCTGTTTGGCTTAAAAAAATTAGTTTTTTTGGCTGTTTTTGGTCTGTTCTTTTTTCTTTTTTCTTTTTTCTTTTTTTTTTCCCTTAAAATAGTTGAACCAAAGAGCCATTAAGGCACTGTTTGTGTTGACACAAACAATGCCTTAAAGACTTTTTTGGGACAAAAAAAGTTTTAAAAAAAATAGATAAAATTGTTTTTTTTAAAAAAAAAATTATTTTTTAAAATATTCCTACAGACATATAACCGTTTTAGGTACTATTTGGCTGACCCAAACAGTGCCTTAACGGCTATATTGGCACAAAAACCTATTTTTAAAATTTTTTTTTTGAAAAAATTCATTATATACATATTTATTTTAAAAATAAAAAATAAAAACCTTTCATTGTTTATTTCAAATGATATTAGAAACCTTTCATTGTTTAGTTCAAATATGATTTTTTTATTTTTAAAAAATATGCCTTTGTTTTCATTATAAATTAATAAATCAAATGATATTAATCAAGATTTCATACATATTGGATAAATAATTTAATCAACAAACAATTTAATTATTTATTTCAAAATAAAACATAACATAATAAATATTGCATTACATAAACTTCATACCAATTTAAAAATAAAATAATGCAACATAAATTAAACATGTGCTTCACCAAAGCGGTTCCACAAATTTTTAATTAAATCTTTCCTCAACCGCATATTTGTCTCTTTGTTGCGAATTTGGATTTGGCGAGAGTAGATATTTTTCTAGAATAAAGTTGAGATGAATGTAATAATGATGGGATGAACAAATGGTTGTTTATATAACATGAAAAATATAGCCGTTATAAATATAGCCGTTAGGAAAAAGTTAAAAAATAAATTTTATTTTAAATATTAAAATAATAATATTTTTGGAGAGCGAAAATGCACCATTGAAGTACATCCGATAGCTAGAATTTGGAGATTCTAAAATGCTAATGTGGTTATGGGAAATACCGACGTGACTATGAAAAAATGCTGATGTAACAAATTCGGAGAGCCTGAATTCGGAGAGTCCATTGGAGATGCCCTAAGTGTGCCTAAATAAATAGAGTTTTGTCCAAATAAATCATAATTGATATAATTGTGCGAATTCAATATTAGGATCACGTAATTTCAAATGGATCTAAAATCCAAACGGATTGGCATGATTGTATCAAATGTGTATGTATTTATAAATTCAACTAGAAATAATTTGAAACAAAAATGACTCGAGAACTTTAAAAACAAGAAGGGCTAAAGAATAATGAAGATTTGCATTTTAATTCATGGGTATATTGGTAATTTCAAATAATCTCCTCTCTAGACTTGTGTGACTGAATGAGACCTTCCCCCACCTGCCTAGCAAGCGCAGTTGACGCAAAACTTTATAATAGGCTTATAAATTTTTGATGGCTGAGAAGTTGAAAGCCTACCATCCCCATCAGTGGAGAAGGTATTGGCTGCTCCATGCGCACTGTTACCGAGTGCATTTGAGTTCTTTGTGAACTATACATATGCCAGGGTGTGCATAAACACGAATAAGTACGGTACACGATGGGCACACTTAATATTTATTCATATTTATTCTCATTAGAGCAGATCCAATGAATAAAAAATGGGTGATTTTGGAACACGTTTGGATATTGGACTGTTTATGGGATAGTAAAAAATTGGGCCCCACCCATTGAATTGCTGAGTGGGTCGCGATATTCAACAACCCCGTTGGCGAGCTGCGGGCCTATCATGTTGGCTCGCATTTATTTATTTATTTATTATTATTTTTTTTTTAATTTTGGCTCAAAATTGACATTTAACTCAAAATACTGTTTCTAAAGACATGTTTGCCTGACAAAAAGAGAAGAAAAAATCAGTTTCTTGGCTGATTTGTTTTTTTTTTTAAATAATTGAACCAAAGAGCCGTTAAAGTACTATTTGGCTGACACAAACAGTGCTTTAAAGATTTTTTTGAGCAAAAAAAAGTTAAAAAAATAGATAAAAGTACTTTTTAAAAAAAAAAAATATTCCTATTGACATATAACCGTTTTAGGCACTGTTTGGCTGACCCAAGCAGTGCCTTAACTGCTATATTGGCACAGAAACCTATTTTTTGAAAAAAATCATTATATATATATATATTTATTTATTTTTATTTTTTTTTAAAAAAAAACTTTCATTTTTCCTCTATAAATACATTAAACCCTACTATTATTCACCTCATATCCAACCCATCTTTTCTAGTTTTCAACCTATAACTACAAAATTTATTATATAGGCGTTTTAAAAATATAGCCTTTAGCAAAAAGTTAAAAAATAAAATTTATTAAAAATTTAAAATATATTAAAATATTAATATTTTTGGAGAGCGAAAATGCACCATTGGAGTACATCGGATAGTTAAAATTTGAAGATTCTAAAATACTAACGTAGTTATTGAAAAATGTTGATATGGTAAATGCGGAGGGTTTAAATTCGGAGAGTAAGATGTCCTTAGTGATATGACATAGAATCGTGCATTAAAACATTAATAATAAATAATAATAAAAAGTAAAAAAAAAAAAAAGAAATAAATAAATAAAGAGTATAGAACAAAAAATCACACCCAACAATGGATAGGGGTAATTTTGTAAAATTATTTAAAAAATGGTGATAAGCTGACAGATCAACCAACCAACCATGGTTAGTTAGAATCTCTCAAAATCAGCTCTAAAGAGATGAAGGCTATTGAAAAGCTGGTTGGCTCTCTTGAAGTTTGGTTTCCTATTGTAACAAATTTACCCTTCATTATTTGTGAGAGAGAGAGAGAGAGAGTGGGGAGGTTCTTATGTTGCCTTTTTCATTGTCAGTGTCCATATCACACATTACTTAATTGGTTAGCACATCTTGGTAATATCAGTATTTGACATGGACATGTGAAAAGGAAATTAGAGAGGTCTAAGTCGCTAATAATAGTGCTTGGGATGTGAATCAATAAAGTTTAGAAAATAATTTTTACACGGACTTGTTACACTTAAATTGTCAAATTTATTAATTTTAATTAATTATTTATACCTTTTTCATCGTCATGTCCATATCACACATTACTTAATTGGTTAGCACATACTTGGTAATATCAGTATTTGACATGGACATGTGAAAAGGAAATTAGAGAGGTCTAAGTCGCTAATAATAGTGCTTGGGACGTGAATCCATAAAGTTTGGAAAATAATTTTTACTTGTATTAGACCTAACTAATTAATCAAACATATTAAGAGCATCTCCAATCGTTGTTTATATATATATATATATTTTTTGTAAATATAATGTGTCATAATATATTTATACAAAAATTTTGGATTATTTATTTTTAGTTCCAGCGATTATTTTATACCTTTTGTGTAAAAATATATCATTCGATAACAATCCATCATCATCATGTATGGACCTCACATAATTTTTATAAACCTACTTAATAAATGATTGATTCGTTAATGGAATAAGAAAGAGGGGGAGAAAGAAAATATGTTGATGTGTAATTTTACACATTGGTAACGTAGTAGTGTATCTTAGAGCATTTAAAGTCCCATATTAAGTAGGTTTGTAAAAGTTATGTGGGGTCATGACATGACACATGATTGGTTGTCATTGGAGAATATATTTTTACACAAAATGTATAAAACAATTACTATAGTTAAAAATAAATAATTCAAAATTTTTATGTAAATCTATCTTGACAAATCATATTTACACAAATATATATATATATATATATATATATACACACACACACACACACACAACGGTTGGAAATGCTCTAACAGATTGCTGGAGAGATTGTTGAAAATGTTGGACAATTCTCTACAATTATTCGGTATCAGTATCACTGCCAGTAAAGTTTTGCTCGCTAAAATTATTTAATCTAATAAAAAATAGAATAATTATTCTATTTTTTATTTTCTTATTTTTCATGATCTCTTAAGTTTCTAATTACCAACTAAAGAAAACTATATGCGTATAATTCTTAAACATGTATTTGTAGAGATATATTTTTTAGTTGGTCTAAAATGGACAATTTCTTTTAATTTGTATATATAAATTTTATTTTAACAAAGAAAATGACATAATTATAGTTCCAAAACGCAACACAATTAAAAAAAAATAAATTATAGTAATAAAATGTAAAAAACTTAAAATGAGGTCACAGTGTAGAATGGTATTACCAAATCCTAGCTAAAGGACAGTGCTCCATGTAATAAGACTGACCCAGTCACCTTTTTCTTTGTTCTTCCAAACGCTCGCCAAATCCCACCTCAACATTACTAACTAACAGAAATTTTTATATGCCCGTTTACTCTCACCCATGTCAAAATGATCGTGATCCCTGTAAGTCGTATGTCGTTGTATAACTAAAAATTACAAATAACTGACAGAACATGTAATTGGTTGAGACGGCAGAC